TGTCCGGGGTCTAAGGGGTTTTCTTAGCACGGGCTTCCTATTATCGACCAAGTAAAACTCACGGATTGAAGCATTTAGAGCTTTGTAAAGCACATCAAAGGTACCGTCAGTCCCAAGTTTTCCATCAAGGGTGCCTGGCGGGCAGCCGTCTCCGGAGTAATTAATGCCAGTAACAAAAATAGGGGTGCTGTCTTCAGCTTGCTGTCTCTCTATGACCCCGCTAAGAGGGCTGCAAATCGCAGCTCCAGCGAAGACGAGAGCGAGAGCAGACGGTGAGTAAACCATAGTGGCGACTACGACCTAGATAAATCGAAAGATGTAAAAACACAATTGAAACAGTCTTAGCAAAGTGCATTGAGTGAAGATATCTGTGGCGAATTTTGCCACCCTTTATAGACTGAGGAATTGCTGAGCAATAATGAATTAATCCTATGAAGCTGTAATGTCACAAAGCTAGAAGATTCCGGGACGCCCGAAATCAAGGTGGGCCTACAAAAATGTCAATTAAACCAAAAAAGGCCGCAGTTAAAAACACAATAGTTCAAGGTTTACTGGTACTGAACTTACTTATAATAGTGTTTAGTGGCCTCTGGTCTTGTCTTGCGTGTATAGAGCCTACCAGCCAATTCGCCAGTGAACAGCACCCTAGTTACACAACTTCAACGCTTAATAGGTACGTGACTTTCAAACCTCTATATGGTTCTGTAGCAGGTACAGTGCCCTCCAAAAAGTCCAAAAACGTGTAAAAAGCGTCACCTAAAATCCATTAAACTCACTATCTTCTACTTAGTATATCTTATTAACTAAGGTATACACTATATAGTAAAAGGTCGTATATAGTAGCATAAGTTACTTATTAAAAGTATTTTATAAGTCAAACTCTTTTTTTTAAGAGAATTATAAGTGCTTAAAGTAGTAGGATGTTTTATAAAGAACCTTATAGGGAATAATAGGGGACAATATCAGGAAGTTAAAAAACTATTTCTTTTATTTTGACACTTTTTGCACGTTTTTAGACTTTTTAGAGGGCACTGTACTAAAACAAGATTTGGTATCACAGTTTGAGGGCTATTGAATTCCTCCCTACGCCCCTGACGCTCCCTACGCCCCCGACGCCCCCAACGCCCCCAACGATGTCCTGGTCAGCGCGCGCCACGATGGCGAGATCAAGCGCCTTATCACCGTTCTCCTCATGTGGCCCGCCCAATGCATCGTCAGGGTCACCACCAAGGCGTGCGCGCCCATGTCCTGGACTGGCCGGCCTTCCTCCGCGAGGCCTACTCCGCCGACCACCTCACCCAGCTCCTCCGTATCGTCTACGAGAGGGAGTGGGCCGCTGCCAAGACGAAGCATGCAGGCAAGCTCGTCAACGCCCAAAAAACCATGGAGCTTGGCGAGACCATCGAGCTTATCCTCGAGCTCGGCCCCGACGCCTGCCACAACACCGCCGCCGTCGCCGGCGTCTCCTCCATGCGGAAGCCCACCAACCACGCCCCCGTCCCCGCTGCCGACATCTGCCGCGCCCTCCTCCACCAGCTTGTCGCCCGGGTTGACGACCTCAACGTAGCCGACGGAAGTCCGTCGCTCTCCCTCGCCGAGATCAAAAAGCCCATCAAGGGTATGTGTTCGTCTTGTGTCCATCTTATGTCCTTCTTATATCTTATGCCTGTCTTAGGCACCCGTGTTTGAACAAGGAGTCATTTACAGTCAGTCAGCTAACGAAAACCACTAAACAGACCTCAAGGACGCCGCCGCCAAGAACCTCAAGCGCAAGAGGGGCCCCAAGAATAACACCCCCGGCCGAGACCAAGAGGGAGAAGGAGAAGAGGAAGAACAAGGACAAGAGGACGAGCCCGAGGCGCCGCACGCCGCAAAACGTGTCCGGATCGACCAGGACCTCCGAAAGTCCCTGACTGACGACTATATCTACCGGCTTCTGGGCGCCGGCCCCTCCCTCCTCAACGAGGAGCTCTCGAGCTCCGCCCCGTTCGATGACCCCACCGCTCTCACAGCCAGCGACAGCTTCGGCTTCGGCCCCGACGTCTCCGCCGCCTCCCTTGTCGCGCCTCCCGGCTGCCGTGGCGCCCAGCTCGTGGCCGCCCGCCAGGACACAGAGGCCGAGCTCGACGCCCTGGTCTTGGGCCAGCACCGCCAGGATGAGGTCGTGCGCGAGCAGCCTGTCTTCCTTACTTGCTACTACCTATTGTACTATAGTAATATTATTCTTAAGTAAAATAAATTAAAATAGAAGATACTAGTAAGTTATTTTTTATAAGTATATATATTTATATATATAGATTTACTACCAAAATATTACTATTTTATTACTTTATAGTCTTTTACTATTAGCTAAAGCCTAAGAAGAAGTAAGTAACATTATATAATTATTTAAATATGAGTAATAGCTAAGGTCTTTACTATAGTTATACTCTCTTTATATTATAGTAAATATAAGACTTATAAACTAGCTTTTTAAAAGTCTTTTATATAAAAACTTAGGTTATAAAATATATTTTAACTAGTTACTAGTACTACTACTATTAGATTACACTAGTTTATCTTTGTTTTTCTAGTAACTTTAACTTATATAGATTACTTTAGCTTTACCTAAGCCTTACCTTGGCCTTACCCTGACATTACCTTAGCCCTACCCTGGCCTCACCCTGGCCTTACCTCTGTTCTTGTGTAAAGTAAGCTAAAGCAGCAAGAATCACCCAGCTCACCCTATTAGCTAGAGGGTGATGACCCAAAGAAGCTCTGAACGCAGCTTCCGCGCAATGGCCGCTTGAGATGGATCAATCGGGAACATTGCCCACCAAAAGCTGTTTGTGTCCCCGCTAAATGCTCCCCTCCCTCACTTACACTTCACCTCACCGCAGGTTCAAAACATTGAATTCTGCTGAAACTAGATTTATTCCGAGAGGAGCCAACTTGTACGTTAGGCTGATAGAATGTAAGGTGCAGATATTCCGAGAACCGATACAATCAGGTAATGATTTGATGTTTTCGCGGTAATCCCATGGCCAGCGCAGACAGTGTGGCGGGGAGACGTGTAAGGAAGGGCGCGATTCTGCGAATAGAGCTTGACGAATGTCTCCATTAGGGCGCGACTATCTAAGCGGCTCTACAGGCTGCTGGGTTGGACGCTCAGGTGTTGAGGGAGATCATGTGGTAGGTGGCCAGTGGTGCAAACGGTCCGAGGGTGCGAAATATCACTGCAGAGAATGCAGCTCTGATCCATGGGCTAGAACTGTCAGGCTAAGCAACCACTATCCCGCTTCAAGGAATCTACCTCAATCGATAGAAGGATATTATGGCAGGCGTGAATACAAAAACGCCTGAAGAAAAAATCCACGACACATCCAAATCGAAGTTAGTATTGATGGCTATCAGGGAACTAGGCAACGAGGCATATGATCAAAGAAGAGGTTTCAGCACCGCGTGGAGTGGGACTGTCCTAGTAGGAATGTGGCATTGCAAAAAAGAATGTACTATAGTATATACGGTAATGGACCTAGACTAGGCAATCTAAATGCGCTCTCTTTCTATATGGCTTGAGAGGACGGACGCGCGTGTCGGTCTACCGCGAGAACGGGAATTTCAAGGCGGCCATCGAGGATGGAGATTACGAGTAGGCCCCCGAGGTTGGCTTAAGGAGCAAACTGGTGTTGACTTGTGAACCGGCAGTGCCCCGCGAAGGAAGTGGAATAGGATCCAAGGGGATGCAAGGTAGAGGGTCTATATAGGTAGACGCGCACCGCCTCTACGAAGTATCAATAGGCCGTGGAACAAACCGAACCGAGCCTGCCATAATACCGAGCGGCTTTTGGAAAGAGGTACTCCTCTTCAAGATTAACAAGATTATTGCTCCCAAAAGACCCTACGAGATCAGTGCGAAGTCAATCACCATGTCAGTTCCCAATGATCAGTCCGAAGACGAAATCACAAAGTATTTTCAAGGGCAACATATTGAGTAGCATGTTGTGGAGAACACTTACAAGGACGAAGACAGCTTCTCCGTGCTGGCAAGCAATTGGAGGTCTACGCAGCTGGATTACGTGAACAGCATCAGAGCTTGCCTGTAGGGGATTAGAGCCGGCACTGAGCCCCGGTCACGACAGGAAACACTTCCAGACATCGGTTCCCTCTCACGGGAATATTATTTGTTAAGGCCAGACTGATACAAATGACTGGGATATATTGCTTCTCATCCAGTCTGAGTAAAATCCTCCGCCGCTATTGAATGTAGCAGCTCCTCCTCGGGCCTATAGACACGCTCTCAAGACGGAGTAGGAGGGTGAAAGAAAGCAAACCGGTGGATAGCAAGACCGATACAACAGGAGTTACAAGTACAACCAATCACCTCAACCGCTCCAACGCCAAAGCCAGGTCTCATAAGATGCCTAGTATGCGCTGTTTCAACCGCCATCGGGTCTCTCTGATTCTGGGGTCAGCAATAATCAAAATGCCTGTGGACCAGCTCTCAAACTTACCACGAGGTCTGAACGTAGATGTCAGACGAGCCACTGCTCTGGTAGCCCTCGGTGGCCACAATCTGGTAGTAGTGCGTGCCGAGGTTCATGCCATACCTAGCCCAGGCGTTGAAGTGGTTCTGCATGTTGACGGAGCCTCCGACGCGCTTGCCTTGGCGCACAGACCAGTACTGCTGAAAGGTCCTCGTACCGTCGATGGAAGGTTGGTTGTAGCGGGTAGAGACGTAGATGTTGTAGGTGCCGCCGTCGGTCGTGACGGTGCCCTTGTACTGACCTCCGCTGCTGGGGTCGTAGGTGCCGAAGGATTCGACCACGTAGTACTCGACCAGAGGGTTGCGAGTCCAGCCGTAGACGGCCAAGTAACCGTTACCGTTGGGGCTGAAGGAGCCGCCGTAGTTGATGGTACTTTTCACGACAGTTTCAGCATATACATTGGACTATCACCTCGCTGCACAAAGATTCTCTTACCGGCCATTACCGGGGTTCCAACCCTTGCCACCGACAAAGTTGCCGACGTTGCTCCAGCTCACCGAGTAACGGCTGCCGGCGCCCATGGTGTATTGGACACGACCGCCTCCATCGGACCAGAACGAGTAGAAGTAGCCGTTGTGGGTGCCCTCGCTGTTGGGCGTGACCTGGCGCCTCTCGAGAACCTCGGTCGAGTTGCCGTCGTCCACCTCGTCAAGGAAGTCGAACGGGCGTCCAAGGACGGAAGTGACAGCCGCCGTCGCGAGGAGGAGAAACTTGAACGAAACCATGGTGACGGGAACAAGGGTTCAGTAGCGGTCCGGTATAGACAAGATCTTGGTTGATGCGGCGGCAATCACAGTCCTCGGGTGCGATCACCGTGCCGCTATATATAAGTTGCCAGACAGCACACATGTCGCTGTTATTGCCTCCGGAGCTACCACTCCAACTCCCATCATGACGTTTACGAGATTGATGGAAATTCTCCAGGCGGTCAGCCGGATTTGATTTAGGCTGTACCATGGACCATCTACAGGCTAATGTCGCTGAAAGAAATACGGCGACTTGCGTACACTCGCATCTTGGCATCAACGAGGGCAGAAGCGGCCGTCGGCTAAAATCCCAGCACCACATTGATCATGAGCCACTGGTGGCGACGACGCCCTGTGTTCATTAATTGGAGATCGGACATACACCCCTGCCGCCACTTGAGCAAACAACCTTAAAGAGTATCGGTCTCCGGGTTCCGTGGCGGCACGTGGATGGCGGGAATCACTGCCAAGGATCGGTTCCACCACAACCCATGTCCATCAATCATAATAGCCGATGACCTGGACGCAATCTCATAGGCTACGGCCGTGTGATTTAGGAAGGTGCTTCTTTATCTACTACCGGCATATCGTCGATGGCTTGCCAGATCTGCACCGACTCTACACTCATACCGTCCGGTTGAAGGGATAAAATGGGACTGTTACCATGCCTCCTGGAAGCGACGCACCCCTTACCGGTTTTTTTTCTTCCAGGCTTGTCAGCTTGTGTTGAAGCGTGGGCAATAAGTGGGCTAATGAAACTACGTCGTCCCCAGAACATAGGGGCAAAATGCTATTAGCGGTGGCATGTCCTATGGGATAATATGCTACAATAGGCAATGCTGCTAGATAAATGTAAGCACTATATCTTAGATGGACTTCCCTTGCTTACAGTACTAGGTCAAATGTTTGGCTACAGACAAAGGTTAACCCGATCTACAGCTAGTACTGTTAGCCTTGATCCCCTCGTCACACCACAGCTGGATACTGCTAGCGGGTAATGTGGTAAGGCCGGGATGGAAATGCTTGTACAATGGCTCGCTCACACGTGCTGCTACAGCCCAAGGCAAATGATACTGAAGATATTCCTAGTGCTGCAGCCTGGCTTTTCACCTAGTACCGTAAACAAGGAGAATCTAAGTAGTACGCATATTTTGTCCTTTTGGGAACCAGATAGGCAAGATCCCTAGTCATAAAATCACATATATCATAGGCCAGACAGTCAGCTACACATCACATGAACAAGGATTATTGCAACTCGTATACGCACTTCAACAACATCACGTGCATTTCCAACTGGCTCCCGTGTTCTCTGTGGGGCAACTTGAGCATTTTGTCAGCTAGACAGACTCGTTAGAGCTTACACACATGTCAGCGCTAATTTTCTATACTGTTGGCAGTCTCTCTCTGTTAACCTGATTGGTTCCATCGCAAAACGTCGTGAAGGACCCTCACCTCCCAGAGCCATCTTTCACTTCAACCAAGAATCATCACTGGACTCATGGATACATTCGGTTAGATAGGAGGAAGAATAGGACGATGGCTACACAGTAAGTAGGTTGCTTACAATGAAAGTCTTGGCATAATTCTGATAGACGTAGCAAGATGATAGCCTCGCCTTGTTAGCCCTGTTGTAAGGCAAACCAAATGAGCTTGAGTTGGTCCGAGCCAGAGTCCAGAGCATTCAAGAGCGAGTCTATAGAAGCCCGTTCCTGTCCTGCGATCAACCGGCCGAATGATCCATTGCTATCACTTATCCACAACTTAACCAACTGACTCCCTCTCAACACAACACCGCCACCACCACTACCAGCCTCTTCCACTATGAAGCTCTCCCTTCCCACCGTCCTCGCAGCCGCCTGCGCCCACGGCGCCGCCGCGCTGCACATCAACCTCTACACAAGCACCAACTGCAATGGACCCTTCTTCATGTGCGTCAACTGGACTCGCAACACATGCTGCGATCCCAACTACCCCTCACGTCGATTCGTGTCCGTCGAATTCACCAACCTGGACAGGTCGCGCGACTGGGAGTTGCGCGTCTACAACGGCGGCGGCTGCACGCGCCGCACCGCTACCGACGGCAGCGGCGGCCGCAGCTCCGTCTGCTTCGTCCGAGAGCCTCCTTACACAGGCGCCGGCTGGGGCAACTTCAACCGCGAGCGCGACGTGGAAGGTGGTGATGATGACGCGCCCGTCGGATGCCGCCGGCCACAGGAGCTGGGGTTTCCGGACGGGGCCCGGTTCAACCTCACGTTCCTAAGCCGCACCGTTCCGCCGGCTTGCCACCGCGAACCTATCAACAGTGTTTCGTACTCCGTATCGGCCCCTCTGAGCGGACAAGGTTCGCAGATACTGCGAGTGAACTCAAATCGAGGCACCGGCCCGGTGCTCTAGATATTAGAGATGAGGAGCCCGATTATTTTGGTATGAAAAGGGTTCAAAAATAGTCGTGATAGCATGCCATCGGGCCCAGAATGGCAAACGCCATCTGTGATTGCTGCACAATCGCCTATTTGCGTCAAGGGCTTCACAGAAACTGACGTGCCAAGAGCTCAAACGATCTTCGTGTTACGCGTGCCACATCCCTTCCCATGCAATTCAGGTCAATGAAGCGTTGTCTCGCGAGGCAGCCTGAGCATCTAACCGCTTTCTCTGTTCAACGGTCCTTGTTTGGCGATGCCCGATATCTCATCGGCCTCAGCTTTCCTTCCAGGGTACGTGCCTTGCACCAGTATCGGCCCGTTTGCAAAAGATACCAATAGCCGGTGGCTGGCTCCCGCCTGGTTTCATCACCCGGTTGATACGAGATGGGTGACACAAATGGTAGGTGGAAGTCCCAACTGCTGTAGGCAGCTTATCAAATGCGGGTTTAGACAAAAGATAAGATATCGGCTCCTCGGAAAGGCAGCGTTGCCGCTCTTCCGTTCTTACAAAGGTCTGCGGCTTGTTTCCGTCATGCATTTCGTTTCTAGATATCTTGTATTACAGATAGAAAACTTGCCTCTACATCTCTATTGGGTGCATCGACACGTGGTGTCGCTAGCTATGATCTAAGAGACTAAAACGCTTTACGCAGGTGATAACAACTACATTTGAAGACCCGGACACACGACGAGTGTGCGAAATACCGTTGGCATGCGCAGGAACGTCGCTAAACCTATAAAGGAGTGTACTGGGGGGCCTTTGGCTGCAGACACTATTACCGGTTATTCAGAGCTAGCTGCGAGCGGGAAGTCTGACGAGTGTTTTTAACTTTTTGTTCCAGGTAACAAACAGATGTTTCTTACATACAACAGTGCGTGCTTTTCCAAATACATCATAAGAAACCTGTATTATACCTTATTCAGCTCTTTAGACTAGACATATAGGCTATCTACTACAGTATGCGTCTTTTCAACAATGGCGTAGGTGTCTCATCGGTGACCATATATCTTGAAACAGTCAGCAGTACAAGGTTTTGAGCCGCAGTACTACTGCAGCTTTTATTGATCATTCGGGACAAGCCCTCTGTCACGCAAAAGACGACGCCGTTAGTTACGTGGGCAGTAATAGTAGCTTATATATCGTGACACCCTCCTTCCAACGTGATACCTCTGCTGACCACCTGGACAATACAACAAGCGATTTAGCTCACTTTACTCCTGGCACAAGCACCTAGGCCATACCACAAAAGTCTTGGACATTTTCCAGCTGCCGGGCGATAGTAAGCACAATCGCCTTGCAATATATAGCGAGTCGTATACTGTCCTGATTTCGGCTGGGCAAAACCTGTGGGTCACTCGTCTCTTCTTCGCCATTTACAGCTACAGCACTACAGCTTTGGTACCGGCGCTTGGGTCTTGGTGCTATGGGTTCCCTCCCAGGTCTCGAGTATCGTATTCTTGGGGCTGCTCAGTCTTTCTTGTGTGGCCTCGTAGATGCTCGGGATCCCTGTGCTCTTGTAACTCTTTTGCTCCATGATCATCGACGCTACCCCCTTCGCCGACAGGAAGATCTGCGGCATGCCATGCCCGGTAAACCCCGCGAGGATGAACTGGTTCTGCCTCCCAGGTACAGCACCGATATGCGGCAGATCGTCGGAAGAGTAGCCCATGACTGGCTCGCGGTTAGCCTCTCGTATTGATCTCTCGCCTGGGGTGTTGGGGTAATGATATGTTGCACTCACTTCCGGTCCACACCGTGGACGTGGTCGCGCAGCTGTCTTCCCAGCCGTGGAACACGCGCTGCATGTATCCATCGAAATGCGTCTTCGCAGACTCAATCAGCTGATCGTCGTTGACGTTGTTGTACCAGGATGGCAGGTCGTGGTAGTACTTCGATCGCGCACCTCCAACCACAATACTTCCATCCAGCTTGGGGATCAGATACTCGTACTCGGTGTCGGACCACCTGATGATGTACGAGTGGGGCAGCAGAGGACTGGGCTGTTTACCCGGCGTGATGTGACTGCAGATTCCGCGCACAGGCACAATCTTGTCGACGAACTCGGGCAGCAGGGATGACGTGTAGGCGTTGGTCGCGTACACGACCTTGGCAGCACGGATCTTGCCCCGAGGGGTGGATAGCGTCAGATAGCCCTCCTTGTCAGGGGTCTCGGTCACTGTGTTGACAGGCGTGTGTGTTTGCAGGTTGACGCCCGCATCAATGGCTTTGGATAGGAGGTGAACGATGAGCTTAAACGGCCACAGGTGACCTGCTGTGTATGAGATGCAGGCTTTGGCTCCTTTCACTCCAGACAGCTATACATGGGTTAGCAACCATCACCACCATCGCTCATCGATCTGGTCTTGTTCGCAAACAGTGCTCAACCCACCTGTTCGGCTTCAGTGCCCTCTGCGTAATACACATCGTCCATTACAGACACGCCGTTCTTCCTGAGCAAGTCGACGCCGGCCTTCATGCGCTTGCCGATGGCGTCGGACATCAAGGCATCGACGGCGCGGGTGAGGACGAAATCGCAGTCAATCCCTTCGGCCTCGACAACCTTCTTCACTGCCGGAAGGTTTTTGGCCTCGAACTCGGCAACCTCGGTCGCAGCTTCGATGCCGTGCGTGGAGATGAGACTTGCCGGACGGTTGTACGGGTCAGGTTTGAGATGGCCACCTGTATTGAACTCACAATCAGAAACCGTCGTCTCAGGGTGGTTCGAGTACCAGCTGGGGGCCCGTACCATTGCGTCCTGTGGCGCCAGAGCACGCCTGCCGGGCTTCGAGAATCACGATCTTGGGAGGCGGCACCCCACGAGCCTTGCACCGGTCCAGGATGTGGTAGACAGTCGAGACCCCCGCATAGCCGGAGCCAATAACTGCAATGTCGACCTGGCTCGGAAGCTCGGGAGTCGTCCGGTGATCGTCCAGAGCGTGCGGGGTCGACCTCCAAAAGGAGGTCGTGGAGTTCGGGACGGGCAGCGGGGAAGGCGGCATGACTGCGTCGATAGTAGGGGTGGGGGGCTTCGTTTCTGGAGCGCGAAACCGGGCCAAAGCAGACTGTCTGTTATCGGTGAGGTTTCCCAAAAGAAAGCCGCTGCGCCCGCGGTTAATAAAAGGGTCAGGGAGGTTTCTATGCCGTCTCTTTTCTTACCGGGATCGGCTCTGCTGACGTAACTGTGGAGGAGAGTGGGAGTGGACGGTAAGATAGGAACAGAAACGTGGTCAAGAGACTGACCGGGTCGGTCGAGTGCGGAGAAAGGGAGCCCTGGTTTGTCGTGGAAGCGTTGCTTTGTGTTGCCCGCCCATGCAAACTATACAGACAATAGTGGCATCAGGAACAGCAACACTGTTCGAGAGAGTGGGCCCGGCCGGGTCATGTAGGTACCAGTCGAGCTTTTAGACTAGCTTTCTACTGAGCATTTCATCTTTTCCCAAAGTAGGCATGGAGCTGCTTATCTTCCCTATCTGGTAGCTCGGGGTGGTTGGTAGATGTACCGGGGAACCCTGACTTGACCCCATACGAATACAACGTAAGATTAGAAGATGGTGGTTTAGCAAACTGCACAAGCTTTCAACGATAAGCGATGTCAGCCACACCCAGACGTTCCTGGCTCGCGCAGAGGCGTCGTCGTCACCAGCGATACCCAGTCGGGAGGTAGGTGTCCTGTATATGTGATTAGCATGGCTCTCAACAGGTCGGCACAGGCCAACCGCGGTCTGCTTTACTAGGTTACCCATGATTATATACACGTCGATGCCGGTTGGCAGTCTGGTCCGTGGAGCTGCCATCCCATTTCTCGATCTGCGACAATTTGCGGCCCCCCTTTCTGTATCATGGCAACCTCATCAGATTCGAAAGACAACAAACGGATCTCTAGCACGACATATATCGACGCCGGCACCAGTCACGTGTGCGATGGAGGCCCAATCGAAGAGATTGACGAAAGCTATCTGCGCGCCCCCAGGTTCGCAAAGTTCTACCGAGGCGTTCTGTTCCAGATGATCTTTTTTGCAGCATAAATCCAAGGGTCCACGGCATCAGAGGCGAGGACATGATGGAAAGTAACCTCTGTGGAGCATTTATGCTCTCCTTCTTCGGTCCCGCCACGTCTGACGCCATCTCCAACCTTGGCGGCGGTGGTCTCTCGACTCCGTACGTAGCGAACTTGGCGACGTCGCTTGCTTGCCTGTCAGGCTGCCTGCTTCCCGTCTTTGGCGGACGCTTGGTCAACAAGTTCGGCATCAAGTGGTCCTGCATGATCGCCGCCGTGGCGATGCCTCTGGCTGGCTCGGCTTACTACGTCAGCGCAAAGTATCATGTAGACTGGTATCATGTTCTCAACGACCTACTTGTGTCAGATGTCTCTGTACTGGATCCTGTCAACCTTTTCCACGGATGTCGGCGGTTTGTTTCGGGCCTTCGAGTCGGGCGGCCAGGCCGTCTCGTACGCCATCAACTCCACGAGTGGCGGCGACCATAGGATTACATTCTACGTCAACGCCGCTCTGCTGGCCTTGTCTGTTCCCTGCATGGTGTTTCTGATTCGGCTGGTGCCTGACGCCCCTGCTAGTACGGATGTGAATGCTGGGGATCTGACAGCCATTGACGGTGGACTGGACCCGGATAGAAAGCAAACCATACCGGCATTGCGATTTGCGGTTTTTAGTGCTGTGTTCATCCTTGGTTAGTTTCTTTTGCAGGTGATTCAACTTCGTGATTTGTCGTGAAGTTGTGAATAAATTCGCGGGGCTATTACCAGATATGGCTTATGACATGTACTGACGACTTGCTGTTGATCTTCCAACCAACTTCGCTTCATGCGTGGTGTTTAGACAGATGAATTACTTTAATTTTGTGAAAGAGCCTGCGGCTCCGCATATTATGAGATATTATGATTCCATACAACAAATCGAAGCCCAATTCACCCCGTGAGATGTGCTATGTTCAAAGTGTCAAAAGTCCAAATGTAATACCCATAGGCCTATCAGGAGCTCTAGATGTTTCAGGCCGACGGTTCCAAAGAGAAACACACTGAAAAACGAATCTCGTACCTTCAAGTGATGAGAGCGCTTTGCAAGAAGCGATTTGCTCGTCTGCGAGATAAATCACTGACGGTAGCTTGAAAACCTGCCTCCGTTTCAAACCTTCAGTTACCCATTATGAATATTTTACGGAAGACTGCGTTCTCAACGGCCAGTCTAGTGTGGATTCATATCGCAAATGGGCGGCCAGCCATGCAATACTGTTGTTGTTGGACGATTCGCCAACATGATGCCGTTTCAAGAGCCAACGATGACACGCCGTACTCCAAAGCCGGTCACAGAAGCGGATGAGGCTGGAAATTGTAGAGAAGAATCCTTTCGCCTATTATCTGGGCTGCCTCCGTCGCAAGCTCATAGAAGAATCGAGTCTGTGGTGGCCCCTTCTAGTCTGTCTCTCTCCCCGTCACAGGAGTGTGATAAATGGTGGCCAACTGTGCTCCATTAAGGACCGTAATCGTACCGTATACACAAGTAAACAAACCTTCCATTTGAGTTTGAGTTGACCTATCGAGTCCTTCTGCCAGCACGCCAGACGGTATCTCGGTAACCGCTTTTCTCCTTGCTGTTAGCCTAGAAAAAAAGTGTCAGACGGATTTACTTGGTTTACACGGTAACCGCAACGGTTTTCGCCTGGCGCGCCGGCATGGCGCTATGCCGGCAACGTCGTCGGATTTGGCCTGACAGGTTCGCCTAGCCGGTCCTGCCGGGATCCGAGAGAGGTTCCCGCACGCGACGAGGGGATGGTGGTGGTGGTGGGACCGATAAGCTATCTGCATGGGTGGATCTCTGACCGGGTTAGTATTTTGCTGATACGCGCGGAATTTACTTCTCGAGCATGCATTTACACCCCTGCCGTTACCAGGACCGCGCAGGGGTAAAGTTCTTGACGCTTGTGGCGCACGTGCTACCGTCTGTTTCCGTGCAATGTGTGTTGTTTCGAGCTGCCATGTAAGTATCCTGCGTGCGGAGTCCTATATTTCGTTACTATATCTTGAGGCGTAGAATAATAGATGGGAAGACCGTTACAGAAGTATGCACTAGGTATAGCAGCTGGAAGGGAGTCATATCCGGAGCTCTGGATGTTGAATATATTCTGTTCATCCGACTCTATGAAAGGATGCGTCTCGAGCATCTGGGAATATTCGGCAGCGAAGTCCTCTTTTCCGATCCTTGAAGAATTTCAGTTTGCTTCGTTTCATAGATACTACGCCCGACAACGATGCGTCCTCGCCACTTGCGTCTCCATCTGATGCAGATACCCGCCCCCTCCCCCATCCCCCATCCCGTCTTCGCACTGGACACGTCGGAAACTGCCGTGAGACTCTATCGGTACCTACGGAGGGTGTATGTATGGTGGCAGGGGGTCGTTCGCACCTCAGTGACGACAGCGCAGGCGTCGCACCCGGCCTTTTCCCGCCAAATCCTCTCGAAGGACGTTTTGAACTCAACTGCCTGAAAAGGCGCGACCATCCCGGTCTCCGGCGATGACGTCTGTGCGTGGTGTGCTCCGGAGGGCCCGCACGGACACGGCGAACTGGGGGCAGCTCGGAACGATATGCGCGGTGCCGGCGGTCTCGACGACCACCGGGGGGACGCGAGAGCCAGGCGAGCTCCTCGGCGGGAAAGGATCCTTCGGTGTGAGTGTGGCGATATAGTTTAGTTGGGGCAGGCTTTCTCACCCGATCCATCAACTTGCTACTCACTTGACACTCAACATCGTTCGCTGAATAATAAAAGGGAAAACGGGGCAATGGGGGGCACAGCCAGCACGATGATGTGTGTGCTAGCAGCCCAAACTCCCCCCTTGTTGCGAAATATATAGTCGAGACTGGCACAGGATGTACAAACTAGCCCAGCGCAGTAAACGCAAATTCAGCTTGTCCCTCAGAGCATAACTTGTTCCAGCTCTTTAGAGCCATCAGGGCCGTCTTTCGCGTCTTTCACGTCTCAACTCGCCCAGAGGAACGGTCAGAGGGCGCCTCTTTGCCAAATATCCCGGGGACCTCGGCGACAGGATTGCGGACATTGTCAGGACAGACCGGACCTTTCGCATCGCGGTATAAAAGCACTAGAGAGACACGGGCAAAAGCGGCAAGAAGACGATGTTGGATTCCGTTCTCGTTCCCCCCTCACTGTGTCCCCAAATAAGACGTGCACGGTTTTCAAGGACTAGATAAAAAGAACAAAGAGAAATGGACAAAGCGATAATGGAGAGTTTGATTTCCCCGCGCGGCGGCGGTGCACCTCGATACCCTTGATTCCATCAAAACACCAAGAAAGATCGCCCTCGAGGAAACCTCGCCTTGAACGAATTCCCATGCCCCGTCACTAGTGAGGAGTAAAAACCACCAAACTCTGAAACCCACGCAAAAGAGCCAAACCGTCACCTCAATCCTTGACGAGCCACACGCACACCACCGGCTTCTGCCCCGGCAGGCCCGTTCGCCCCGCGTCCCAGCCGACGTCTGCGACGCACTTCTTCATCATGTCCTTGTCGTCGCCCGAGAAGCAGAGGCCCTTGTACCACCGGCCGTTGCCCGCCTGCACGATCTCGAAGCACTTGTTCTTCTTGGGGTTCGGGTTGCTCGCGCCGAAGCCGCGCAGCAGCTCGGCCAGCGTGGTGCCGACGGGCACGTGGAAGGCCGCGAAAGGCACCCGCGCGTTGGCCGGCAGCTGCCACGGCGGCTGCGCCGTGCGGAAGACGTGGATCTTGGTGTGCGCCGCCGGGAAGAAGTAGTTGTAGCCCGGCTCACAGCCGGTGCCGCCTGTCGAGTTGCTCAGCTGTGCCGCCGGGTTGCGCGGGTCCAGCGCGGGGAGGCCCTGCGCCGCGCGCGCCGCGTAAGATCCCTGGCCGCCCGGCTGGAGGGGGTAGGTGGCGTACGCGCCGGGCTGCGCGTGCGGCCACGCGTAGGCCGTTGAGCCCGGGTAGGGTACCGGGGCGGCGGCGGGATAAGAGTACGGGCTGGGTTGGTAGAGGTAGTAGTTACCGTAGCCCGGGGCGGCGCCTCCTCCGTAAGCGCCGGCCCATCCGCCGTGCGGGATGTAGGCGTCGCCGTAGCGCGGGATGGGCATGCCGTTGGTGGGGCTGAAGATCGGCCGGCGGGGGTCCGCATCGTGGCCGGTGATCGGGTTGGACATGGTAGTTGGGGAGTGTGGGCGGGACTGACACCGGGCGGTTGGTAGTAAGCGTTCAGAGGTGAGACGGCCGATCTGGTTGCCAGGTGTTTACCCAGTTGCCGATTCGGTAGTCGTAATGCGTGACCCAGTGGCCGGGGACGGGACCTACGAGTGACGGGTCCCAGAGTTGTGTGGCGTCGAGATGGTGTGAAGGGGATGATGGGCCGTATGCTGCGCTTGTAATGCTGGTGTTGCTTCGGGCGAGGTTGAGACTGCGACCAAATTGATCTGCTAGGTCTCCGTCGATAGTTGATTCGGCTGACATTGGGAAAGGGTTAGCAATGGAGGACTAAAAGGTTAATTTATACGGCCGAAGGGGAGGGAGTGTCCCGCTGTTGACTGGCAGTGAATGATAGCGTGCGGAGCGGATGGCAAGTGACTCACCAATCCCCGACTCGGACGATGCGTCCGATGGAGCGTCTCGGCTGCGGCGTGTGTCGGGCTGGAAGGCAAAGATCTCGGTGCTCCAGACGACGTTGTTGTGGCGGTCGTAAAAGGTGCCGACGATGAGGTAGCCCCAGAACGGAGGGTCTCGCGAGCAGTGGCAGTACTGGGCGACGATGAGCTTAGTTGCTGGGTATGGTAGATACTCCGGTTCCTCCGCGTCGGAGGAGTCATGCGAAGCCACGGTGAGCTTGCGGGAGACGAGAAAGACTAGGTCAGGTGGTATGGGCTGTGCAGGTGGATAGTCAAGATGACTTGAAGTAGTTTGTGGGCTTTTGCTTGTGAGCCTTTTGCTTGTGAACCTGGACGACAAGTGATGATGCGAGATGGATTGGAGAAAAAGGACTAGCATGGTCATAATGGAACCATATATAATGGTATCGAGCAGAGGTGTGAATCGGTGACTGGAGGCCACCGGAGTTGAGACCACGGTTGACGCAAACTCACCGCCATCGAATCATGGGACGACGGCCCGCGTGACTGCGGTGATTGTCATTTCAGTCGCCCGCATGTGTTTGTCATCGTCGTGGAATCTGAGTTGAGATGAGTGGGAGACCCAGCGGCCGTCAACGGTGAATCAATGCCGTGCTGTTTCCAAGAGCGAGCACTCGCAGAAAGGAACGGTGCGATTGAAACCGGGCCCAGCGATTCTGATATGTATGTCGGCGTTTATGCATGTACCTCTGGGTGAGAAATTGTTCGTGGTTCCGTCTCCCATTCAAGTAGAGTACGCCATGTGGCTGGTGTAAGTTGATTGCGGTCTCTCTTGACTAGACCTGTGGCGCATGTGTGCAGTGTGGCTGGTGACAGAGAGACGGGTGCGGTGCATCATCCAAAGGAGATTCGGACTCTTTGTCCGCGTCTGTCGACGTTCGAGTCCCTCGCCAACCGTAGCCCTGCCTCCCAGAAGACACGACAAAATATGTGGATGCGGCAGATCGCCATGCAATCAACAAAGAGGCCACACCGCTTGTTGATATCCATCTTCCATTGGCTAGCTGTGCCTGATCGGCAAAGTCTGTTTCGCCAGCCTGTCGAGCTCGATGTAATAAACGCCGCCTGGAACTCGAACAAGTTTGGCACTTCTGGCTCGGCTGCCAGGCCGGTTGGCCAATGCCGTCTCCTCCCGGCCCATAACCGCCTGTCATAACAAACTTGGCTCCGTGTACTATTTTCCCTATCCACCAGTCTTCAACGGGATCGTGGAAAGCGCCTTGGCGAGCTAACGCACGGGGGGGATGAAGCCCAGAGTGGTCGCTGCGTGGTGTAGATTGTTTTTACTGGTGGATAACGGGGTATCGTCGTGAATCAATCCAAGGACAGTCCGAGTTCGGTGTCCATGTCTGGTGGTGGCCGTGGCCGTGGCAGTTAAGCAGCGGACGTCCGTTTGGTTGTCAGCGTTCGTCCGGGGTCTGGGGCTCCCAGCTCCCCCAGCACATCTGTTATGTGCCCTGTAGACTGCGGTGTCGGCGGTTATTGTAGATGTTTGTAAACGCTTTGAAACGGTGAACTAAATGTCTCTGCCATCGGGTATCGTAATGCTGTTTCCGAAACTCGACGCCATGACTAATGCAGATGTCCTCTGCAGTGTTGGCATATCGATTCGCGGGGCATCGTCCCTTCAGTCGTCGACGTCAACGTCCTGTTCGACGACGCGGACGCCGGCGGCCTTTGCGGTGGCGGCGCTCTTGGCCGTGTTCTTCAACTGCTCGACCTCGTGTCGGATCAGCTTGCGGCGCTCGACCTCGGTGACGAGGCCCTTGAGGTAGACCTCGGCCTGGACGGTGGCGCTGTAGGACATGGCGGTCCAGTTCCAGACGTTGCGGCGCTCGGGGTCGGCGCCGGCGGCGAGGAGAGTGCGGAGGACGAGCAGGTTGCCGTTGCTGCTGGCGAAGTGCAAGGCGGTGTTGCCGTCGAGGTCGGTGCAGCGGACGGCGTCCTGGGCGCCGCGGGGCACGTAGGTCAGCAGGATCTGCAAGACGGTATCGTGGCCGCCGCGGCTGGCCTCCATGATGGCGTCGCGCCAGCGGATGTCGCGGCGGAGGATGACGTCGGGGGCGCGTTCGCAGAGGAAGTGAACGACTTCGGTATGGCCGGCGGCGGCGGCGAGCATCAGGGCGGTCTGGTGATGCTCGTTGAGGGCGGGGTCGGGATCCTCGTGGCCGAGGTCGACGAGGAGGCGGCAGATTTGGAGGTGGCCGAGGGAGGCGGCGAGGTGGAGGTTCGAGTTGGAGAGGCCATCGGGGGAGCTGTCGGGGTTGTGGAGGAGGCGCGGGTGGGATTTGAGGATTCGCTTGACGAGGAGGGCGTCGTCGGCCGTGATGGCGCGGCGCAAGCGGAGCGAGGGTTCGATCCTGGGCGGTTAGCTGTGATGGGCGACGGATTGGGCGGACGAGGGCAACCTACATGATGAGAGAGATCGGGAGAGAGAGAGAGAGAGAGAGAGAGAGAGAGAGAGAGAGAGAGAGAGAGAGAGAGAGAGAGAGAGAGATAGAGAGAGGGAGAGATATTGGGAAAGCGAAAGAGGGCGGAATGATTGAATCAATGTAGCAAATGGGTTGTCGTCAGCGGCATCGCTATTGCCGGCGGTGGTGGTGCTGCGTCGTGGTGCCGTCGTGGTGGTACAGTTGAGATCCAAAGACTGAAATAGAGAGAAAAAAGAGAAGCAGGCCGAATACCTATGCACAATTTGTCGAGAGGTCGGGGGTCACGCAGAGGTGACGAGGTTCGACGATGACATGTGGGAGGAAGACGAGTGGGAGAAGAGAGGATGAAGCTCGGAAAATGACGATATGGTGGGGGGGAAGGAACTGGAGGGACGGGAGCTTAGGGGGGCGTTCGCTTACGGGAGATGGGACGACAGGCGCCGGATTTAGTGCCTGGCGCCTGGATGCTCCCTGCGGGCGGTAGGGGCAGGGGGTGGAGTCCCCGGAGATCAGCGGGGAAGGTAGAGAGCGAGAGAGTAAGTGAGAGTGGGTGAGAATGAATGAGAGTGAGTGAGAGTAAGCGAGAGTAAGCGAGAGTAAGTGAGAGTAAATAAGAGAATGAGAGCAAGTGAGACTATGAGTAAGACTACTCTCATACTCATACTTATTATACTCATGCTCACATTCTCACTCTCATTCTCACTCTCATTCTCACTCCATCATACTTCGTCACGCTCTTTTATCCCATACACCCAATTGGGTTTGTCTGATCTCCCGTGATACAAGGTTTGGCATGTTCCGTGCTGATGGGCTGATATTGCATTTCATTCGCGCAATCATTACATTACGTCCATGCTTCGCCCTAGTGGACTCGTGCGGCCGGCCATCCCGCGAATCGAATCGCTGCCCACACCGGGATGTTCGGATGAGCTCGAGGGGTTCGTCTTGGATCTCTCATTGAGGATTGGATGCATCGTCACTGGGTGGAAGTGCGCATACGCCCTCGACTGTTTACTGTTTAAAACAAAATCGGTGCATCGTTGTTGTCACTTATGCTTATTTATCACTGGTTCCATTATATCCGTTCTCACCCGACGCTCAAATCTACTTGCTCATCTCTCCATGTGCCTGAAGCAACGGTACTTGTCATGCACCCCATCCCACCTCGGCGCCGCTCGTGTGTCCTCACGCCGCCGCGGCGTACGACGTGCCATACGGCTGCAGCGTCGTGCCCTCGATGTCGATGAAGCCGTACTTGGAGTTGTCGCCGTTGTCGGCCATCCCCTCCGCCCACTTGGCCAGCGACTTCTCAAACACCTCTTTGTACTTCTCCTGGCTGGCGTCCAGAGGCTCCTTGTCCTGGCCGACAAGCCGAATCCTATCAAGCCGTCAGTTTTCTTCTCCTCTCTCTCTCTCTCAGCAACACGCGGAACTTACTGCGTCCCGGCCAACATGTTGGTTATCCGAAAGTCGTCCTCGTCCAGCAGCGTGTCGACAGCGCTCTTGACCCCCCCTCGAGCATCTTGCGAGGCAGGTCGAACTCGTTGCACACCGGCCTCGCCAGCCCGACGCCGTCGACCGTCCCGAGCGCCGCCACCATGGCCGCCGTCGTGCGCAGCCCGCCCGTGACGTACGCCTTGGTCCGCTTCAGCTCCGGGATCACCGCCTCGGCGAAGTCGAGGAAGTAGGCCTCGCGCCGCCGCGTCGACTCGCGCCGGTGCGCGAACGCCAGGCTCTGGTACGTGCCGCCCGACAGCTCGACAAAGTCGAACCCGTGCGCCTCGAGCGCCGCGCACAGCCCGCGGCAGTCGTCCGTGCTGAACCCGCCCTCCTGGAACTCGACGCTGTTGACCTTGATGCCGATGCTGAACGACGCGTCCGCCACCCGCGCCCGCACCGCGTCCGCGATCTCGAGGATGATGCGCGCCCGGTTGGCCAGCGAGCCGCCGTACTCGTCGGTGCGCTTGTTCGTCGTCGGCGAGAGGAACTGCGCGAGGAGATAGCCGCTGGAGCAGTAAGCGTTTTGTCAGTCTTGGCCTATTCTCAAAAAACATCCATCACCGGGTAATAACCCCCATATCGCATGGTGCTTGTGCATCACTCACTGTGCGCCGTGCAGCTCGATGCCGTCAAAGCCCGCCCGGTGGACGTACTCTGCGGCGTAAGCAAAGTCGTCGACGACCCGCTTGATATCGTCCTTGCTCAGCGGCCGCGGCTTGCCGAACCTCTTCCCCAGCACCACGCCCTCGAGCTGCACGTCGCTCGCCGAGACCGGGTGCGGGTTGATCTCGGCGGTGACCTGGCGGCCCGGGTGGCTCAGCTGGGCGTGCACGAGGCTGCCGTGGCTCTTGGCGGCGTCGGCGACGCGGCGGAACCCTTCGAAGCGCTCGCCCTCGAAGGGGGCCCCCGGGGGGATGACGGCGTTGCCGGCGGACTCGAGCTGGTCGTAGTCGAGCATGACGTTGCCCGTGAGGATGACGCCGAAGCCGCCCTCGCCCCACCGGCGGTACACGTTGACGAGCTCCGGCGTCGGCACCCCGCGGTTCTCGGGCCGCTGCGCGTCCCACGTCGACAGCCGCTCCGTTATGGCCGCCTTCATGAACCGGTTCTTGGCCGTCTTGCCCGAGAACGCGAACGTGAGGGGCGCCGCGAGCGGCGACGGGTCCGCGTCCTCGGCGGGGATTCTCCTGGGCGCCATGAGGGGCAGTCTGTGCGGTTGTGTATGTCTTGCAAGGTTTTAAGGTTGAATGTGTCAAAACAAGGGACGAAAGCAGGTCCCGAGATGCCGTGAACGAATAGGTATTTAAAGAGTATGGAAAAAGTCAATCTGCTTTCTCCAAAGTTTAAATGACTCGCGGGACGGCCTGCGACGGGGGGCTGGCTCTTTTCAAGTACGCATCGACAACGGACCTATTCCACCTCTCCCACCTCTCCCACTCTTCCGGTCCTTGTAACTCTTACGTGAGATTCCCCGCCGCAGGATAGCGGTTAGATTGACCGCGTCTTTTGGTCGGATAAGAAACGCCGCGTCTGATTTGTAACGAGTTGCTTATCCTCAAGCCGTGTTGCACATCCGTCACTCACGCACTAAACGCGGCTACGCCACTACGATGAGACGAAGTCGGGGTTCCCTGGCCGGCCGGTGACTTGGTTGGGTGACAGACTCATTCTTTGGGGGCAAACCCCCCAGCAGACCGCTGAACACGTCGGCTTCGCGCGTCGTCCGGACCTCTCCAATCGGGCAGCTCTCCGTCGCCTGACAACAGGATACCCGGCCGGACGGCCGAGACAGTCGTACGCGTTATGGCGGGGGGCGGCGGCGGGCCCTAGACTAGCGCGACCAGAGAAGCCGAGGGAAGCCTTTCCTCTTCGGCCGTCATCCTAACAGCCCCATATTACTTATTCAACCCGACGTCGATCTACTGTCACGGCCCGAGGGCGATTGGGCGGGCAGCCGGATGCTCGACGGATCGCGGGTTCGGGTGGATGTCGTACATCAATCGGTTTACCTATTTCATCTGACAGCTTCCGCCATGGGATAGATAGGTAAATAAAGACCCATTGCTCCGACTGGGCCAACGGTCGCTGGTAACCGCAGCCAACGGGTGAAGTCAGCACCTTGACCAAGACATTTCCTTAACCTGGGACAAATCCCTTGTACTGTCACGTCCTGTCGACACCCGCTTTGTGACTCTCGCTCGACTCTGACGATCCAGCCCGCCGGCGAGGGTCATATAATGAAAACAACTCGCCGTTCCCGGAGGACGTCTATTTCACCTCCGGAGAGACAGAGACGGCAAAAGCAAAAGAGATGCGCCGAGGGGGAATCGAACCCCCGGCTCCCCGACGCTGCTGGATGGCAACTGAGAATTTTACCACTAAACCATCGGCGCTGGTTATGAGATATGCATCTCAGGATGCTGATCCGGACAGCAAGATGCTACAAGAATCGACACGAGATTGGGGAGCAATCGGCTAATCTGAACTAACAAGATCTGAACCAACAAGATCTGGCCAACAGGATCTTCACTGCGTTTTTAACCCCACCAGACCGGCTGAGACTCTTACCAGCAAGCCTCTCCAATCGGAGGCCTCGCCGAGAGCAATCAGGCGGTACAAACAGGAGCAGTGGCAGGAACAGTACAGAGGAGCATGTCAAAAGTAATGATCCATAATGCCAAGGCCCACCCCCTGTTAATTAACAGGGGTAAATGCAGGGGTGCCCTCCCTGGTTAATTACAGCCACTATTTTATATTATAGCCTAGCGGGTTATTTAGTTACTCTTAATGTTGTTAAATCGCTAATAGATTATTAATAATAGGGATTATTTACTGTATTTAACCTCTAACTAATACTTACCAGTATACTAGCCCTCCTAGTATTTATTACCCCTATTAAGGGCAATAATGGCCTCAATATAGGCTAGTATCTGTTTAATCTAAGCCTAGATTTTCTCCTAAGGCAGTGCCTACTAGCACTGTTGCTAGGCCTATACAGCAGCAGCCTAGTTAACTAGAGCCCCTTTTCTTGTTGTAAATTACTTTATCTATAGCTAACAGGGCTTAATAAGGTTAAGGTCAAGGCTATTACTACACTAGAGTAACTTCTTAATATTATAGGCAGCATATATATAGTAAATATAGTAGTAATTATAGGAAAGTGCTTTATCCTCTTAAATAATAGTGCTAGGCAGATAGTTATTAGTAATAAAGGGGAAAAGCTTAGGTAAAAGAATCTCCTTTTAGTAATAGTACTAGTTAATTCCTCCTTTACCTTTATAGACTAACTTACTAGTATAAGTGTATAAGATAATAGCTATAGGCACTTAACTAGGTAGGGCTTAATAGTAGGTATTAGTGTATTGTAAGACTTAAGCTTGCCAAGCCTAGACAATAGGGGCTCTGCTGCTAGAAAACTAGATGGTAGGGTGGGGCACCAGAGGCTCAGCGATCCATCGCCAAGACCTACAGCTATTACCATAAATCCTGTTATAATTGCTCCCCTCCCCTTTAGACTTTATCCTAAAGTTGTTATATAATATCCTTTAAAGAAATAATAATAACATATAGTTATAGTCCTTTTCCTTGTTTAGAATAACCTTATAGACCCCTTTTTATTACTTCTACTAAAAGGCCTTATTATTTTAGAATATAGTAACCTTGTTGTTATTATCTAGTTAAGTGTACTTTATGTTTTTGTTTAGTAACACATTAGTAAATAGTTACTAGGTTATAATTTACTAGATAAAATAGTTATATAGAGGTAAATATAATATAGCTAGTTACCTAGCTTATTTTCCTTTTGCCTAGTAGTTGCCTAAGTAAAAAGTTTTCTTCTGCTAGTTTCTTGTTTACTTTTCCTCTTCTTTTTCTTTTGCTTAGTAACCCTTTAGTAAATTTTTATTATTATAAATCTATAATTTTTTTACTATTATAATATCTTATAAGCTTTATTTTTCTTGTCTTTAACTTTATTTTCCTGTTTATATTCCCTTTTCTTTTACTAAGCCTTTGCTAACTAATTACCTAAGATATTAGTTATTTCTTGTATATAGATAGTTATTAAGATAAAGTATAATCTTTATAAGGGTTTTAAGGATCTAAAAGGCAGTACTCTTA